GCCTCATTCCACCTGCAATTTCATCATCACTTTTAGATTTCGGATTGGTGACATAATCAAAAGTTCATAGAAAAGGTCCCTTTCCCTTGAGAATTCAGGCTGTGGATCGGTTTTTGTTAAGTTTGTGTAAGGTAAGATGGAGAGATAAGAAGAGAAACCATGTCTATACAAGTATACGTACTTTTTTCACCCTTTGGTTCGATGACGGTTAGCCTTGCCCTCGAGTCAAAAGATACCGATACTAAGCACCTGCAAAACCAAACCCAAATCAATACTTTTCAATCATTTTTTCATAATATTTATCTATTTGCTTGCTTAGAATCATTTTAGACATTATCATTGAATCGGTAATTATACAGTATAGGATTGACCCTAATGAGTAGAGAGAAACCTTGAATCAGGAGAGAAAGCCAGTGCGGTGACCAAACCGAGATGAGCTTTCTTAACGACTTGGTTAGGTTGCATTCTTGTTGAATCAATTATCAAAACATCTCCGTCGAGTGTTCCTCTGCATTAAGAAACAAATAATGACTACCAAATCTAGTTTTACGTTTATTTGATTGGTCCCACAAGTGAGAAGAAAGATAAACTTACATTGCAAGAAGCTTCCCATCAGCTGAGACATTAAAGGCGGATATAGAGTTGTTTTTTATAAGCTTTGACCGTTTTCTTTTCCACGATGCTGTATCCCATGTTATAATACTCACACCACGTTCTACGCAAAACAAATCAACAATCGTTAGCTGTGACAAAAAAAGAAGGATCTGAATTACATGTTCTTGATATGTCAGAATATAAGTTTACCCGTGTTTGCAGCAATGTAAAGAACTTCATTGTCTGCACTGTCTACAGAGAATCTGCATGAGGCAAACATCTCGTCCTGCATTTCCATATTCAAACTCATCAGATACAATAAAATAGTGTTCCAAATTTGTATATAAGGTTTAAAGATGCAAAGAGCCAAACCCAACTAACCTTCTCTTTTGATAGACTGGCAACGGCAGCAGAAGCATTCACCTCCCAAACCCGACAAAGTGGACCTCCAAGAGATACAAGAAACTTACCACTTTCACTGCAAGAGAAATTATCACTATCAGGGAATTTGTTTACAGATCACTGTTAAAAGATGATCCCTTTCTCACCAAGAGAATGAACCTCTTTCCAGAGATAGCAAAGATTTTGCTTATTTGAACGGAGAAAGCGCACCTGAAAGTTAGGCTTCTAACTGATGATGTATGTGCCTGAGACTCATTAAGTAAAGTTTTCATGCTAGGCCATTCAAAAACCCTCAAAGTCCCATCCTGTACTGCATCAAAACAAAATGCATAAGAACCACTTAAAGTTTTTTCCTTTAAGTTACTTAAAAGATATTGAATCAAAGAGCCTTCCTACCTCCCCACCAGCAGCGAGCACAGACCCTTCCTGATTAAAAGCCAGAGCTAATTGTTGTCCAACATCTCTTAACTCTTTAATCACTTCCTCTGACTTTTCACCAACCTGATTATCCTCTCTTGGTCTCATAATGTTTTCCCAATCAAAAAGTCTGTGTATCAAGAGAACACAAACTACAATCACATCTAAAGCTAAAAGATCCAGTGCACGACGACTTAAAAGCAAAACCCACCAGTTCTACTAAAGCTACTGAGTTTTGAAATCGAAATGGGATTACTCACTTGCAACTGTTTGAAAATGCGCAAATAAGACCACCTTCACGAGGATGAACAGCCATACGGTAAGGCAGATCAGTGCCAACAACAAGCCTACCCAACTGAAAAATGATAGTAAGTATAGATCTGCTACACAGTAAGTAGATCAAAGGTATGATTACTTTCGAGATTCGCATAGAACAAACAAACGTAAGGTTCGCACTTACAGGTTCTTCCGAAAGAGAATTGGTCTCGCGATCAACACGACAGATTAAGATGACATTACGGATTCCGCTATTTCCCTCTCCGCCTCCGCCGGCCAAAACGATGCAGCTCCGGGAGGACGAAGAAGAAGACTCGCTGCCATCTTCGGAATTCTCCTTATCGTTGTCGATTTTGGATCTAACGGATTCCTCCGGAACCCAATCGGCGGAGTAAATCGGAACACCGTAAGTCTGCACATTCAACGGTGGATTTTGATTCGCCATTCTTCGTGTAGCTCAATGCGAAGGTTCCTCTCTGACTCGTAGACGACACGTGAATACAACGC